GCATTCTTTTGGCAGTGTGGAGGGGACTGATGTCTGGAAAGGCACTGTCACGCTCTTCTGAAGCTAGGAAGGGGCCCATAAACTTGGATCTAATGAGCCCCTATACAATTAAAAGACCATTATAGTTGACTCCCTTTCCTTGCTCTTTCATTCTCTCGCTTGAAGAGCAGGTGAGGACCCAAGACTCAGTTTTATGATACCTGTTATCCGTCCCAGCTGACCGCCATGGAAGTGCCCCACCAGGCCCCCGACATGCGCACCGAGGCTTACCCCAATGATGTGGATGGATGTCCCTGAGACTCCCAGGGCCTGCAGATTGATGATAATACAAATTAATCTTTCTGTAGCAGAAGGTGTAATACCCTGTCCCAGCCCACACAGCAGCTCTGTATCTCTTCTAATACAGGATTGCTTTTGAGGTGTATGGTGGAGAACCAAAGAGATGTGGGAATGATGGGCATTGCCCTTTCTGTTTTTCAGCGTCTTTCTTCAGGTCCACAGATGCAAACCCAACCCTAACCAGGGTGGTCAAATGCTCTTGTTCATAACTATGTAGCCTGTAGCTTCTCTTTCCACAGCTTGCTTCAGACTGAATTTCCTTCTCTCAGCTGAGTGATTCATGTTCACCATGTGAAAAATCTTTTTCTCAGTAAAGCAGAGGAAATGTTTTTTTTTTCACTTTTATACCACCATTGTACTAATACTCTGATTAGTATTTTAAGGTTATATTTTCAGAGATTAAGAATTTATCCATGGGCTGAACTGCCAGATAAAGCACAGCCATTTAGACCTGATGTGAGATGACCTCATCCACAGGAGTTGAGCTGCCTGCGGGTTGGTCTGCATGATGCAGTACCGTATAATGGGAGAGCATATAGTGCACGAGAGCGTGGGGGCAAGATGAAAAATTCTGACTTTGAAATGTATGAGGCCATATCCTGGAGCACTACTGAGGCTTATGAGAAGAGAATATAGTCTTCCGTGGTGTAGTGTTGCAGGAGAGGCTGGACAGAAAAAGTCCTTAAGTAGCCGGACCAGCGTTGAGTGGTAGGGACACTGTCCAGCTCAGTCATTTGTTCACAGTGTGGGCTAATCAGTAACAAGGCATGACAGTCCTCTCACCCTCCATCCCAGTCCCCATCCTTGTAATGACTCAGCAGCTCCAAGGGTTGCTGTATTTCTGGATACAAATGTGTGACTGTGCACAATGTGGTGCATACCCAGGGACATCCATGCTGTGCAGTCTGGGTCTGCAGTGCAAATGTTACATGGAGAGTTTACACATAGCTGGTTAACATGAAGGTATGTCGCCCTCATTGCGTAAGTGTTGTTCAGCTGCACTGTGCACAAACCAGGACACATCTGGGGATTTCCAGCTACTGAGAAGTGTATCTGAAGCCCAAAACAAATATAAAATACCCTCAAATCCCACCCCCTCCAACTCCCTGCACTAAATTTCTGGGCGGAAGAAGACTGGCCAGTGAAGCATAGACCTGAGAAAACCCATGGCATCCTTCAGGTTTGTCCCAGGCTGGAGAGGCAGCTGACAACTGGGATGTTTTTCCCGAAAATGTCAAAAGTCAAGAGAAAGAAGAAAAACAGTGGCATGCTCAAGCCTGGACTGAGAGAGATGGAAAAAAGAAATTTCTTCAGTGCCACACTCTGGAATAAAGAGCCCACTGGTCCAGCTCTTGGAGACAGCAGATTTGGAGCAGTTTTCTGGACTGCTTGCATGAATGATGTTCTCTGGCCATGCTCCCCCTCCACTGGAAATTGCACAGTAGCTTACCAGGAGCTTGCTGATTAATTGTGAGATGGAGAGGGCTAGCTGTGTGACATTTTCCACTGCAGAGGGATAGGCTCCTGTAGACCCGTAAACCCAGTCTACTGCGATCACGTTCACCTGGCTTGTGTGCAGTATGGCATGGACAAGCCCTTCAATCCAGGAAGGTTTGGTACCCAAAGCCCTGTGGAGTCATCAGAAACAAGTGTGTTAGGTGTCTTCCAAAATAGGCCATGTGCCAGTATGTTGTTGACTGGTGCTGGAACTTCATGTGTCTTAGAGGAGGCTGCCAGTCAGATGCTGAAAGATTTGTCTGGTGCCAGATACAAACACGTATTTCTTTGTGATGGTGTAATAGCACTTTCCAGAATGGGCTGATTCAGAATGGAACCAGATATTTTAATGAATGAGATAACATTTGCAGGGCTCAGGCTGAGATCTCAGTGTTGCTGTGGTGCTTCAGTTAGCCCCCCCGCCCCCCTCCCAGAGTCCACCTAGGGTAAGTGAGCTGACCAGAAACACCTGGATTCTGCTCTGCTACCAACTGGCAGGAAGTCCTTGGTCAAATCACCTATCCTTTCACTGCTATATTTCCTCATTTGTAGACAATTTAAAAAAAAATTCTATACCCTAAAATTCAAGGAAAACTGAGGAGGCTATGTTCTACCCACTCTCCCTAATACCACCTGGTGAGGGGTGTGCTATGTCACATAAGGGCAACAACTGGTTTTCTGAAAAGACCCTGCAACATCTTCTGTGGTTTTGTCCTGGTCTTCTATGCACTTTCAGGCTTTTGCACATCAAAACAAATAATGTTATATGGTCACATCTGGCTGAAAAATGGCACAGTAAAATAAGCTTGCAGAATGGTGACAGCTTAAAAAAAACCCCAGCTCAAATCCCTACAGTTTCAAGAATAGAAGTATGATGTGTCTGGTAAGGGTCCTAAATGGCTGACTAATCTAGACTGTTGATAAATCAGGACATGAGCTCCAAGAAGACAATTTAAAGGGACAAGAATCTTGAAGGAAAGACTTCTTAAATAAAAAGGTTGAAAGAAGGAAAGAAAAGGAAAGGGGTAAAACAGGACAGAGTGAGAGAAGCAAGAGAGTGAGAGAGAGAAAGAAAGAAAGATTCTCATTTCCTAACTTTTTTTAGGCTCCAAAAAATGCGAAACACACACAAAATAGGCAGCTGGTCCCAAACTAAAGGACATAAAGTTGTGTTATAATGAGGGTCATCAGTAGCATTTTCTATGCCTCTTGCCCTGGCCCACCAACAGTCTCCCAGACAATTCCCAGGTCGAGCTTGGAGCTGAGCACTCCAGACTCTTCTTGGCAGCTGTTTTGCATGCAGCCACTCTGCTGGGGAGACTAAGAAGGTCACACAAGCAGGAGGTTTCCCTGCCAGCCCCACTCAGTGCTTGGGAATGCCCCAGCAGTGTTTAATTTACCAATAAAAACTTAGTCACAGTGCTCTTCTTTTTCTCACCTGAAGCCATGGATTATGATCTTGGTTTCCAGGCTGCTGTTGAAGCTGTAGTTCTCGATGCTATCATCAGCTAAAATCAGCTCACCACAGCTGGGTCTTGAGGAGGTAAACAGAAGAAACCGGACCTTAAGTTTACTGCCGCGTAGGAAATTCGCTGTCTGGAAGTCAGTGCAGTGATGCCTTGAGAGTCTGTCTGTACTCCCTGCAATGAGAGGGAGTGAATAGCATATTTAGACTGCATCTGTGCAATGGAAAAAAAAAAAAAAAGCTCATTCTAATTCATTAGGAAAATGAAGGTAGCAATCTTGCTTCTATTGGTAAAGATTAAAAGGATAGAACATAAATTAAAATCAGCCTATTCTGGAAACTTAATCTGTCTGATAAAGTTGTTTCTGTCCTTTGGTGGAATTCACGCTGGCTGGGGAAGATACCTGTGGATGTCATGGTATCTCTGACTTCTGAAAGTTGTTTTACTGAGACATGAAAGACATTCTGTTGGGTTTTTTTTCCAAATTGGGCACACACACCAGCTACTAAGTACATTTATGAGCCAGCTATTAGATCTTTAAAAAAATGATTGCCAACAGGTAGTCACCACTGAATGGGGATATTTCTATTAGGCTTAGTAGAAGGTACAAGTTTAATTGACAATTGTATCAAAAATCCAGAAATAAATACGAGAATGCTGATGTCAAAATATAAGACGGCTGATGACAAAGTGCGTCAATGATAACTTCCTGATTGATTCATTTCCTGGATGAAAATGCTTTATGGGAAAGAAAACGCAGCTACTGGAAGGCACTTTGATCTAGAGAGAAGAAAAACAACCCAAAACGTCAAACCTGTAGCTAGTAAAAAAACTGAGCAAATTTAGGCTAAAAAGCAAGCATAGAAGTTTAGCAGTATGTATGGCTAGCAGTATGTATAGCTAGGTTACCCACAGAAGAGTTGGATTCTCCATCTTTTGTCATTTCAGAGGGCTGGCTGCTATTTTGGAAGGCTTGTTGAAGGTAAGATGCTGGATTTACTGAAGGACTAATGGGGTGAAATTTATTGACCTGCGATGAGCAGGAAGCCAAGTAATTGATTAAATGAGCCCTTCTGACCTAAAAAGTGTTACTTTATGAACTGGCATAGTTGCATCTTACTGCAATCACAATGCATGCACCTTCACTTTTTTGGACTGGAGGAAGTGAAACAGCCCTGAATCTGCACATACAATAAAATAAAAATACCTTTTTTTTTTTTTTTTTTTTTTTTTTAAAATCAAACAACCACTTTCCTAACTGCTGGCTGTTCCCATAGAAGATACTTTACACTAGCTAGGCTGAACATGGCCTAAGGGTCAGCACAAAGGAGTGAGATTCAACATTCAGATTCCCTCTTGTGGGATGTGACTATCCCTCACTGTTGTTTATTTTGGTCTTCCTGTGTACTGAAGGCAAGAGAGAAGGAGATGTTCTCTGAGATCAGTTCGGAAAAAGCAGCGCTCGTGAGGCAGCTTAACGAGCAAGGGCGGGTTCCATGCAAATGTGGTGCATGTCAGAAACGGCGTAAGACGAGGGGGATTGTGAGTAAAGATAAGACAGGAGGTGCACTGCTGTGAAGCTGCAGGTGACGTGGGACTGTAGGGATGACCACAAAAGCAGTTTCACTGTGACAGTACAATTAAAGAAAGACATGTAAGTGTGGTGTCTGTTTATTTTCCCTCAGCTACTCAGCAGATTACACTTGCTAAGCTTTCAAAGCAGGAGATGCCAGTGCCAGAGGTCAAGTGGTCGCTTTTCTGCTTCCTTACACTTCAGAGTAAACACAGATCATTCTTTTAAATCAGGTTAGTGGAATTAAATCACTGAGACTGACTGAATCAAAGCATGGGAGAAGAAAGGACCATTCTTGCACTACCCTTTCTCCTGGCACCTAACTAGATTATAGCAAGGGCCTCTTGACACACAGGTTGTTTAGGGAGAATTGAATTCAGATCCTTCTATGTAAAACCTTCAATCCCTTGCCAGGCACTCATGTTTTTCTTACCTGCTTCTGCTGAGCTGAACAGCAAGAGGACAGCAAGAACAAGGAGGGGCTTTCTCTTCGGATCATCAACCATCTTCCTGTTAGTCCACTACAAGTACAAGGATTGTACAGGGAAAAATAGCCGTGGTGGGTTTCTTGATCAGCTTGACTGTTAATGATCAACCAGCTTGTGCTCTTTTGGGAAAAAAAGGGTAAGGGCAATTACCTCTGCTCTTATTTGACCATTAGCCAAAGTCTGTGACAGCAGAGGGCTTCACTGACTTTTTGGTTTAAAAAGATCCTGACATTCCTTTCCTCCTTACCTCCCTTTCCTCAAGGAAAACTTCTGACTTCAGAAATCAGCTAGTGGAACCAGTCCCAGCAAGTGACAGAGTTACAGTGCTTTATCCTTGCCCCCTAGACCTGTCTGTCAAGTTCTGACTGCGGACACTGATTTGTCACAAGGCTTCACAGTAAGTCCATGCCAGGAAGATTCATGCCAGCCTTGCGTCTGTGTATTTTCCTATTGCATTGCTGTCTTTTTCCTGTATTTCTACTTTTGGTCAGATTTCTGTAGCTGCCAAAAGAAGGCAAAGCAATGGATTACTTCTGAAAAGTGAGGGGAAAGACAGGCTAAAATGTAACTGGTGGCTATGTCACTGTAATACACTCAGATTGTGCATTTCTTAGGGTGGGCACACTCTCCACTTTTCCTTTAGAGACTGCATTTCAGATATTACGGGAAATAAAAGGATGATGCCAGTAATGCACCAGTATCACAAGCATGCAAATACTTCAAACAGATCTTTGAAGAAAAAACTTTACTGCTTTGGTGTAAACAGACGGAGAAGCATAAGTGCGCAACCAAACGTGTAACCCCCGGTCTGCCACACAACGTTCATGAGGTGGTGGTACCATCTCCCCGGCTGTGTTAGACTTTCAGGTAAGGGCACACCTGTTTCCTAAGTCTCATTGGTGCGTGCTGGTCCTTCTTGCAAAAGAACAAGGCAGCTTTACCCTTGACTGTTAAATGGCAAGAAAGGTAACGAACGAAAGAGCATTCCCTGTCCAGGCACTATTTTACAGCTGCTTTATTTGAACAACAAAATGAAGAAATTGCTTCAGTCTGATCAGAAAGATGACCAAAGACCTTTCCAAAAGCATCAGACATTATTTTCCTTTACATTTATTGGTAACAGCCGTCGTTTCCTTACCCCAGTTTGCTCCAGCCAAAGGTTTTGGGAGTGTTTCAGGCAGAAGATCTCTTTTATTTCTAAGTGACTCCAGAGAGAAATGTCTCCAGTTCTCACAGGGAAGTTAGGCAGCATCAGCTGCCTGGCCTGGAGGGCTACTGAAGCCCTGCCATATCTGCATCCTCCCAGAGACACATAGACAGATACATTCTGATCCTAAAATATTTGGCTCCATGATCAAGCTGGCTTATTGTCAAAGAAGTAGGTTCTTAGTGTCTTTTCAAATATGTGACTGAGTTTGTCAACCCAATCAGTTTTCCAGGATTGAAAGCTGCGATACAAATAGCCAACTCCTGGCTTCCGTCCCACTCTTCATCTTTCCAACCCCAGCAGTAGACTCATGTTGATTCACAGGTTGTAAGACAAAAGCCCATAGACTGCAACGGACCCCCTCCTTCTTCATTACATCCACAAATTCCACTGATCTGGATAATCTCTCAATCAAGAAAGGAGGAAATAAACCTGTGAAATCATACTGATAGGCAGTGACATTTCCATGCAAGCCTCCAGAGCAACAGCGTAATTGTGAAAATGACAAATTTCTTAGACTAAGACAAATCGGAGCACCTAAAGAAAACCAGCGAACACCTCTTTCCATTTTTTATTTAAAATTATGGTAATAAGCTCTACTCTTTGTAGCAGGATGCAACTGTTACTCTTTGCCAAGTTCTATGGAAATTTTGAAATCCATGTAATATAAGGCAGGCACTGGTATTACAGCCTTAGAGTAAAACAAACCTGAGGCCAAGATGTGCAGGTCTGATTTAGTTTTGCACTGCTATGTGTATTTGCAGAGTTGTTAACATCTTGGGATGCTAAAAAAAAAAGTCATCATGATATTTGAAATTCTGTTTCCTGAGCAGTTTTTTTTCCTGTAATCTCAGATTTAGTAATTCCAGGAAATTTTTGATTACATCAGCACACTATGGTGGTCCCTCATGCAAATAGCGAAAGACACTCAGTTCCTCTGTGCTTAAAATGCTCTTACCAGTAAAACTATTTTGGTATGAAGGGTTTTCTTTTTTTGTTTGTGAACTTAATTACTCAGTAACTACAGTTATGTTAGTTCAGAAACTTAATGTGGTGCCACTTATTTTACTTCCCAATGAGTGATTATAATAGCAATGGGAACGCTCAAACCACATTAGATTTCTTTTAACAGTTCCTACAGCCTACGATCACAAAGCACTGTGTGATTCACTTGAGAATGAGTCAGTGATAATGAAAGCAAACAAACTCGATTCTTTGCACAAATTCTTTTCATTAAAAAAATTGAAAAAAATTCACACTGCACATTCAAGCAAATGCTAAAATGCCCAACTCAGCTGAAAATATCGTCTCCCCACCCACAAAGCAACAGCTCGCAGGGGCATATAAACACTGCAAATGCCCAGTAGTCAAGTGGAAATCTGATCATAGGAAATTCACTTAGACTGGAAAACTGTTCATTGATACTAGAAACAATGCAGTCGAGGTAGCAGTGCAGGATGTTGAGGGAAACCAAGGGTGATTTAAGCAAATGACGACTATTTAAAACCACTCCCTGAGGTCTTTGCATTCGAGGGGGGGCATGAAATATATGCAGAGCTTAGTTCACTGTACATTAAGGCCTGGATCCACCCTACTGCTGGAATACTTGGTATCACAGCTCCTGTATTTTCTGTCCCTTGCCCCTGGAGCAGAAATCATGGCTTTATGTTAAGCACTTCGGCTCCTGGGTATTGTTCCCAGGATTGACAAAGGAATCGGGTTTAGTTCTCACCTCAACAAAAAGCAATTCAAACTCCTGACTTTCAGGAAGATTGTCCTAACTATGAGATAGTGGGAAGAAAACATTAAAGATTGACTTGGCAGCTGAGGAAGGGAAAACATGGGCAAGTCTGATTGGGTACTCAGTCAGGAAAGGAGGAAAACCAGTCATTTTCTTGAGTCTTTCATGAGTCCTTTCTGGACCTTCCACCTAGTATGACTGTACAAGCATTCACAAGAAGGGAGAATGCATCCTTGCCACGTATCCCTGTAGTCTCCCCAAAATAGAGGAGCCTAGGTGAGGGTACCAGCCACCAGGCTCAAGTTTCTCACTTTCTCTGCTCTGTGAAGCTCTAATCATCCTCTACAACGCGGAGCAGCTCAGTAGAAAGAACTTAGCCCTGTTTTGAGTGCGTGTGGGTGACCTCCTGTGCTTTCTTCCACCCTGAAATAATCAAAGTGAAAGTGTCAGTCCCTGCTTCATATTTCTTTCTGCTAACCCCAAAGATGTCATAACCTACAGGAAAGCTGTAGTGTGCAAGGTGGGAGGTACTATCCTCTCAGCAACAAGTTCAATCCAAAGTCTCTGACCTCTTGGGAGGACATTTTACCTGACAAGAGGACTAGTCAGCGGCAGAGAACAGCTGCTCCTGCCGCCAGGATACAGCAGGAAGATGGCCACATTACATTTCTAGCGTGAACACTGTGACTTGGAGCCTTCACAGGGTAGGGAGCTCCCTTTGCCGCTTGACAGAGATTAAGAACAGAGGGGAAAAGGGAATAGAGGACAGAAAGGCTTGTTAGGAGTTTCTGTCACTGAGCAAAAGGAATTTATGGGATGGGCCTGAGTCCATCTGGAAGCCAGTTACATGCCATGTCATTCCAACATAGCTATGGAGAATGGATCAGTATTATTGTGATTTTTTAAGAACTGAATGTGACAGCATTGCTCAGCCCAAAGTGCAGTGTCATTCTAGCTCATGCTACCGCCTGCAGTGATGAGGTAAGGGAGCTTACAGGGACTCCTAGAAGGAGGAAAAGAAAACCACTCAGCCTTGGAACATCTTCAGTGTTGATTTTTGGAAGGTCTTCTGGTTAGAAGTCTCCATGGTTGCCAATATTTTTTTTTCCCCTGAACTGCTTATGGGCACTGTTGTGTGAAAAACAGAGCTGAGGTCACTCCAAGTGGTGGTGAACAGTCCAACACAGCTTCTTGGCAGTGAGTGTGTGGTCGTGGTTGACCCCCAGCCAGTAGCTAAGCACCATGCAGCTGCTCGCTCACCTCCCTCACAGTGGGATGGGGGACAGAATCAGAAGGGTAAAATTGAGAAAAACTCATGGGCTGAGATAAAGACAGTTTAATAGGTAAAGCAAAAGCTGCATACACAAGCAAAGCAAACCCAGGAATTCATTCACCACTTCCCATTGGCAGGCAGGTGTTCAGCCATCTCCAGGAAAGCAGGGCTCCATCACAAGTAACTGTTACTTGGGAAGACAAAATGCCATAACTCCAAACATCCCCCGCTTCCTTCTTCTTCCCCCAGCTTTACATACTGAGCATGACATCATATAGTCTGGAATATCCCTTGGGTCAGTTGGGGTCAGCTGTCCCGGCTGTGTCCCCTCCCAACTCCTTGTGCCCCCCCCAGCCTCCTCGCTGGTGGGGTGGGGTGAGAAGCAGAAAAGGCCTTGGCTCTGGGTAAGCACTGCTCAGCAGTAATGAAAACATCTCTGCACCATCAATCAACACTGTTTTCAGCACAAATCCAAAACATAGCCCCATACTAGCTACTATGAAGAAAATTAACTCTATCCCAGCCAAAACCAGCGCAGGGTCGAGCACACCAGGAGAGAGCCATCCAAGGACTGAACCTGTGTTGAGAGCCTTCCCATCCAGCACTGGTGCTGTGCTGGTCTCCCCTGGGTCAAGCAGTCGAATTCCTGGGAACTGAGCATGCTTTGAGGCTGTAAGGTCTGCAGCTGGACCTGCCAGCAGCTGGATTCTTCTCAGCCGGGATAACGCACTGCGAGTGGGATGCAGGTGAAGGATGATGTATCCACTTGCAGCAATTCACCACTGTGGGAGGAAAGCTGGCTTGCCGCTGGAGTGTTTGGCAGAGCAGCAATTTTTCAATAGTTGGTGAGTGTTTACGTTTCCCAAACTCTTGCGGTATTTTCCCTTTCTTCCTCAAAAACACTCTGTCAAGAGGCCAGTTAGTTACCCACAAAAGGGAATGTAAGTTTGTTTTAGTTTTGTGAATGGGCTTCTAAGCAGCTGGCTTTGAAGGAAACCCCTAGAAGTCAGAGCTGGTTTCTGGGTTTTTTTTGTTGGTGGTTTTGTTTGTTTTTTTGTTTTTTTCCCCCTCCCCTTCACTCAGGCAGAAGGATCACCCTCCCACGCACCCACATCCCCCCCAGAGGCCAACCCAGCCTCGGGTGAAATGGGTGAGCATGCCCAGGTTTAGCCTCGAGCCCACCCCTCAAATGGAAATACTGCCAGGTGTCCCCTGAAGAGAACATTGGGCATTTTGGGGAGCATCGGTGTCAAACACGAGGGAGTACTAGGTTTAGATGACCATCATTCTCTGAGGCGGCGAGCTGCACGTTAACCTGCCGAAATCTGTTCTCCCCCTCACCTGTGGGGCTCCCGCTCCACGTTAAACTGATTTAATTTCAGCTTTTCAATTAGCAGAGCTGAAACTTCCCCGCTGTGAGAGAGCAGGACGACCGTTTCTGCTGCCAGCTCTTGCCGGGGTTGCGCCCCATGAACCAGAAACCCCCTCGGCAGCATCCCCTCGCACCCTAGCTCCTCTCCGGCAGCCGCAACCCACCGAGACGACCGCGAAGTCTGAAATCCCCTTTTCTAACGGAGACCCGGGAGTTTCCAGAGGAACCCCCGTTCCTCTCAGCGTCGCGCAGACGCCTCCTTCAGCCGAGCCCTGTCAGAGGAGGGCGGCGTCGCCTGAGAGAGGGGGGAGATGACCACGCCTTGGGTTTAGTTTCTGTTTTGGGTCGAGTCGCTCAGAAAGCGGCAACCATGCGGCTGCCGGTTTGGGGGTGCTGGCTCCTGTTCTTCGCGTCCCTGCTGGGTAAGTCAGTCGTGAGGCGGCGGGGTCTCTCCCCTCAGCGGTGTCAAGGGCGGCAGGAGAGCGGCGCGCGGGAGACAAGGGCGGGAAGCGAGCGGGAACGGCGGCGCCGTGAGGCAGCGGGTCACCTCCAACCGTCCCCTCCACAGCCGGGCGGGCTTGGGCCGCCCTGGCGCTGAGGAGAAGGGAAAGCGGCGAGGGCGGCGGTCTGGCTAATCGCCGTTCGTGTTTGGTAGCCGAGGGTGGGTTGCCGCCTGGGGGAACTGCTTTCACTCGCGGCCGTCCCCGCCTGACCGCGGGCGGACCTGGCGTCCCCCCCCACGCCGGTGGCTCCCTGCGCGGTGCTGAAGTGGGGCCTTTTGTTTTCTGTCCTTCTGAATGGTAGAAGGCAAACTGCTGCCCCCCCCCCATTCCACACGAGAATTTCATAAATATCACCCATCAGTATATTTAGGATCTCCCCCCCGCCCCGCCCCCGCGATGCTTGTACACCTTTTGTCTCACATGTGTGTACATGGCAAGTGGGTGGGGTTGTTCTTATTCTGTGGTTAATTTCCTGACCAAGTAGAGTTAATAATTCTTGTGTTCTGGACAGGAAGCGTTGCTGCAGAAATAGAGCCTTACACTCCTGTCGTTTCCTGAGGTGTTAAGGAATTTAGCTTTTATTGTAAAAAAAAAAATTTGTATTCTTGTCATCCCTGTATATGAAAATGCTGTTTATTTTGTATTCTGTGTTCCTTCTTGCTCAAGGAGAAAGCATCAAAGCTGTTCTCAGTGGTTTTGTTTTGTAGTTTGTTTTGTTTTGGTTTTTTTTTTTAAATAGTTGGGGCTTTTTTTTTTTTTTGTAGAAGTAAATTATTACTATTGACTTCTGGTGAAATACTAAACAAAGGCCTTCTTAATCCAAATTCTACCTGTGTGCCTGAGGAGCATAGCCCTCATGTCCATAGCCTTTGCACAGGGCTATGAACTTGAGAAGTACAAACAAACTTGCTCATTTTTGAAATTGAAGGCAGATGTACAAACTTTCTCATTGTCATCAGGAGTAGCTGCTTTTGCTAGATGGGCCAGGCAGCGTGGCTTGCTGAATATAGGCATTCTTATAATTCCTCTAGTTTAAGGAATTTCTCCGTGACTTTGTTGCTTTGGGAGTTTCCTGGGTGTGCCTAAAACAGGACCTATTGCATGCCCTTTTTAAAAAAGAGCAATCTCCTTTTGCTTTTCCTGAAGGCTTTAAGCAGCTGGTTCCACTACTGAGCGTTCAGAACAGCTCCCTGAGATTTCCTCCCGTACTATTCCAGAACTCTTCAGCTTGTTTTGTTTAATTAAGATTGTGAGATCCCGTTCTGCAGCCAAGACTGTAAGAGCATTGGGACCAGGTGTGCGAGAGGTCCAGTGGAGAAGCTAGGACTCTGCATACCTGTGTGAATCAGTCTGCCCCCGTTCAGCCCTAGATGCAGTTTGTCTCATCTGCAGTGCTTTTGCAGGTAGTTCGAAATGAGTGTTAGTAATGCCTAATTAATTGAGTGTACTCTTGTAACTTTTTGTGTGTGTGTGAAGGCACGTTGTTACCTTACGTTACCTAAGTTGGCATGCTGTTGCTACTCTGAGCATCTGAGTCCAGCTGCTGTAGATTTAATCACAAAACAAGATTTCAGGTTCCAAATATGCAGATGAAAAGGAGAGACGATGGTGACTGGGCAACTGGAGAGGCTAATTGTGGCTGCAAATATCATAATATCCTCCTTTAACAAAAAAAATAACTAGCTCTGTTGTCTTTTCCTCTCTATAAAACTTTGATTCTGCAATGGTTGATTAGGGTAGGAGATCAGGAATACAAACTCTTCACTGTTGTTCACTAAACTAAATCAGCAAGGTTTCACACCATCTTTTTGTTTGTATGCTTGCATTGTGGCTATTATGTGTGCAGTTGCTTATGTGTAAATGTTCTTACGTTAAGTTTATCAAGGTAAAAAAAATCTGTCACCTCCATATGAGAAAATCAAGACTCTGAAAGTCAGACTGATCTGCCCAAGTGCAAAAAGTAAATTGGTAGCAGTTTGACTTGGCATGCAAGTTTCTAGCCTTGCAAATGCCTGTTGTAAACACCAAGATACTGTTGGTAGATCCTCATCCGTTGTCAGCCTTCCCTTCTTGAATCCCTGCCTCCCCAGCTTCCCTGCTTTTCTACCCAAATGCAAAGTACTGCACCTATCCCAGTCCCATGTCGCTGAACATCTGGAAATGGGGAGGAGAGAAGCACAGAATAATCCATCCTGAAGACAGGCTCCTTCATTCTCCTATGGGAACCTGTGACACGCAGAAGCTGTAGTGTAGCTTTGGCATCTTCAGAATCCCCAGTCACCACATAGGGATTACTGCTTTTCACAATGTCCTGCCAGGTCAGGTTTTTATCTGATAAAACTTCAGACTTGCAGATACAATGCATAAAGTGTAAAGGGTACATTGAGGCTATGAAGGATTTTGATTTTTAGACCTACCAAGACCATGCCCCTTCAGTCATTGGAAATTTGAGCCAAAAATGTGTTCATTTGGGTGATCCTGGAGATTGTATGTGGGTGGAAAAGAAGTCAATGCAGTATCTGTGGCCCCATTTGTTGAAGGAACCCACAGAGAGATCTTTGCACCCTCCCTGTATGAGGTGAATAAATTGTTGGCTACCGCACCAGCAGGAGGATTGTAGTGCCAACCACACTGGTGGGGATGTTCTGCTGCACTGCAGGTGGCAGCCAAACTTCTAGTGACTTTAGCAGAGTCCCCAAAAGCAGAGGGGCTAAGGGAGGTAAGCCACATAAGTGAACTAGAGCACCTAGAAGCATTCTGTGTCTGTAGTGAGGCTCATCTGAAAGCCAGAGAACTCTTTCAGTGGTCTGAGCATCAACTCATTCTTAAGCAGTATTACTGTCTTCTAGTTCTCGTATATTTTGTTGGGGCTGACAGAAAGATACTTGTTAGCAGCTCTCATGTTTTCTGGCTTCTGAAAGTGACCAACACAGAAACCACATTTACCTTAAATGTGGCTGTTTCTTTCCCATTAGGCAGTTTGACGGGTTTGGGCAGGTTTTTGTTTTAAAACTTGATCTGTTTCTTTCTCTACGCAGAGAAGTACATGGTCCTTTTCATGTTTTTGTTGCTCATGAAAATACCAGGGTTGCTCAATGTTTTTTCCTGTGTCTTTGCACTCCATGAGAGATGTCATGGGAACTACATCACAAGGTGTTGGGTTGAATGGGAGAAAATCTGGACTCCTAACAAATTCAGGTTGCTTGTAGAATGTGGTTAGTTCCATAGGTTGCTAGTAGAAATGTTAAACACAGTTTTAAATGGTATGAATGGAAAAATCAGTTGTCAGCTGTGTGAAGCTGACACCTGATTGTGTTGTCCTGTTACCTTACTCTTGAATCTTCCTGAATAAACAGAGGAAGTGCTGAATTTCTCATAAAGGAGGAAAAAAGAAATGGAAAAAAAAAAAGAAAAGAAAAAAATCCTCTGCCTGCCCACTGCTTAAAAACTCTTGATAAATCTTTGTCTCCAGAGCTGTGGCTGTTATATCATATTAAAAACAAAAAGAAATAAATATTTTTTTTTTTGCCATTGATATTTAACACTACAGGATGAACAGAGAGTGAAAAATGTTACTGATAGTTTCTTGGCTTAATGTGACTGATGGTCTTAGTCCTTAGAAAGCCAGGATCATCTGTGGATTGCATGCACAGACTCCTTTGATCTTGAGAGTTGATAGCGTGGTTAAAGGTGTTTGTCAAGAAAAAAAAAATTGATCATGTATGTGGATTTGTCTTTCTTTTTTTTTTTTAATGGTCCTCCTATCAGTTTACAGCCTCTTGAGACCATATTGGCCGTGTTCAGGGTGGTGTGGCTGTAGGCTACCTGGGTGATACAGGGTTTGTAAGAGACATAGGTTGTAGTTCGGAGTACATTTAAGCTGGTGTGGTCACAGGATGAGAAGAGTTCCTCTCTGTGCCATCCGTTTGTGCTGTTCTTTGAAAACAGAACTACAAAGATGATCTGGCTGGAAAATGAACTCAGTTGAAGGAAAAAAGTTACTGAGACAGATTTCTCAGTCCTCTTGATCATATAGCTACATAAAGACTGTGCTAATACAGCATAGGAAGTGCTATCCAGATGCTGGGAGAAAGTAAGTGGCCAGAGGATTTGAACTGCTTTTTTTTCTGGCAGTTCAGGCTAGGCTTAAATGCAAGTCAGGTCTGTCCCTAAGCAAAGCCCAGAGATCAAAAATAATCGGTATCCTACAAGACACAATGATCCTCTCTAATAGTTCACCATTGCCAAAATGCGGATTCCCAGTTCTCCCCCTCCCTCCTTTGCCTCACGCTGCCATGTGCATTCAGTGGATTTATTTAACTCATTGCGTTAATGGCAATGTAATTTGTCAAAAAACCCTATGGAGTTAATGAATGGTGTTGGCTCGGTCCAGGGAGCATAGCAACAGAGCAGGACCTTGAGACTGCAAAAAGGAGGGCAAAAGCAAGAGGGGAGGGAGAGCGAGGTGCCCCCCCCCCGCCATGAGTGGGCTGAGGTGTTTGCTTAATTGCCCTGAGCTAATCAATTGTCCAGGGCAGGGGGCACAAGATTTTTAGAATAGGAGTTCTCACATTGCAGCTTGCTATTATGTGTGACCTGAAGAAGTGCCTCCTTGGTTATATACTTGACAGGAGAGCTAGCTGAATCTAGGTTGCCTCCAAGTACAGGCAGTAATGCTTTACTATATAAACCTTCTGAAGCTAGAGTTAAGTGATTAGGTTATCCTAAGTTTGTATATGCAGAGCACCTCATGCTGTAAGTACAGAGCATATAAGTATGATTTTATGTGCTCTCTTCCCACCATTGCCCCATGTAGTGCCTCTCACAGCAAAAGAAGGTTTAGAAACCATGGTCCTGCAGTAACCCCTCCTCTGTACGGTGAATTCCCTGGAGTACTGTTCTGTTAGTGGACTTTGACT